TTTGATGTGCCATCTGCATCATTTGTTGTAGAAGCCCACAGTTACTTGTGCCTTGTGGTTTCCCCATATCTTTCTCCCAAGTGTTAATCTTCTGATTACCGGTCTGTTAGGGCAGGCTCATTTCCTTTGCTGTGCCACTTCCTTGTCAGGAATTAGTAACAACCTCCATTTCCCAGGCTAGGCTGTTCAAGTTCCATCCCAAAATGAGACAAAGTTTAAATGGAAGATGAATTTGACACTCAGTAGTGAATTTGTAATGTGATACAATTTGCTTAGTTCATCTCTGATAGTCAACAGAATTAAGTCTGTTGTGCTTGTGGCTATCAATAAAGACTAATATGTGTCACAGTAGGAAATGTTTCTTCTAACTGTAAATAAAAGTGAATGCATCTGATGGTTTTTGTAGGCATCTGTCGAAGTCGGGACCAAACCCTTTGGGACTCAGAAAGCAGCCCTCGGGGTGGTAGATCTCACATGACCTAGTTTATTCTTCATTAAAACAGATGGTATCTGTCTAAGCAAGGCAAACTTGGTTTTAAGAAAGAGCTGGGGATTAAAAGGATGGGAAGCTGGAACAGCCGGGCCTAATTAATGGGAGCAAATAAAGAGGCAAACTGAGCATTAAATTAGTCACCTACATCAATAGCAAAATAGTCACTACATGACTACTCACCACTTGTTTTAGCTAAACAAAAGTTGCAGGATTGGTTTTCCTAGCATCAAAAGTATCTAAAATTGCATCAGAAATGTTCCCACATTCTTTATTCTTTTCTACCAGGCTTCAAAGAGAGTAAAATCCTAGAAACTGGCTGTGGTATTTTGGCATGGCATTAGGGAATCCAGCTTTTGTAAGACTGAAAATGCCTTTCTTGCATTTGATATTTAGGCCAAGCTGGTCCTCAGCAGGTTTTGGCCCTTTGTGTGTGTTTAACATGAGAAGGTTACCTAATGGAGAAGATTGCTGGCATTCCTTCAAGCTCTACTACCATATAAAATATGCAATGGGATCAAAAAAATTTATTGTTTCTGTTGTAAACAGATTGTACTGGATTAGTGGTTAGCATTTTGCATATTTTTATTCTGTTTGCCCATTTAGTCCTGAAAATCCTGAATTATGTTGTAAATAGCACAGGCACTCTTCGCTTTCTTTTGTGGCCAGAAACCTTCACCTGCCATATGCCTTATCAGGGAGAAGGGGCCTGCACAAATAAACTAAACTGCACAAATCTGCCTTCAACCTTCTAGTAATAGCTGAAGTATAATTTTCTGAGGTGCTTTTTTTGCTCTAAAACTCTAATAATATGTGCTGTAAAGACAGGTAGGGATATGCATGTGTGTATGTAGCCATTGCTCTTCCTTCAGCAGGATAGTACTTGGTAATTCTCAGAACTCATCCAGAATGGTACAAGGTCCCTGAAGTTCCCTTGTTTTGAACCAAGTATGAAATAAATGTCAGTAGAATAAAGTACAGATTTGTATATACTGAATTTCCTTTCGTTCATAGCGTGCAAGTATAAAATATTTCTATTTTAAGGTAATCCTAAGGAATGTTTACTTATCTGTCACAAAAGGTTGAATTCATTTAGTTCATTCAGCTAAGCTCTGAGGTAATCAGGGAAAAAGGTTGAACAGTCCTTTCACAGGGATTAACAGAAACTTCTGTGAGTTTAGTGTCTTTTTTGTGGAGGGCAAAAGGCAGTGGTGCTTTGATGGAAGACTGGTAACCCTGCCTTTCTTTGCTTCCAAAAACTTTCCCTCAAATTTATGGAGTTGGGCCTTTGTCTTACACACTGCCACTTCACTGCTTCAGTTTTTTAGTTTTCTTACTGTGAATCTGAGGAGCAGAATTTACATCTAGTCACAAGAAGACCTGTTTATATAAAAGAGTTAGGTTTTCTTGACTATGCTAAACAACCATTACATCATCTTGTCTCAGCCTTCCACTTTGACTGTCATCCTGTTCCTTCCCCCAACCCCCCTAGTTGCAAGGAAGAAAATTTAAAAAGTGTTTGCAGAAATGGCTAGAAGTATGAGCAGGGGACCCAGACCAAAAGTTTGAAGTGAGATATTTAAATTATAGTCGGTTTTGTATGCAAACTTTATCTGGTTGTTTGAAGACTGGCTGAGCATAAAAAAAAGGTTAACAATTAGTCCCATGGAAGGGTGGTGGGTGTGTGTCTGGGTACTGCCAGCTAATGCAGGCCTAGTGCCTTGTTGATTTCCATCGTTGCTTGAACTTGGGTTAAAGATGTTTGAAAAAAGACTGCCTGCGATCAGTTCAAAAGTAAAACTGGTTAGGGAAGTTCTGTGTTCTCGCCTGTCTGTGTGGTCTTCTGGTTTTCCCGGAGGCACTCTAGATTAGGTGCTTGCCACTGTTCTCGAATAGCTTGCCAAGCTTTGCTGTTCCTGGCAAAGGCGTTTTTAAGGAGGCCATGTTTTCAAACTTAGGAGTATTGCTAAATAAGTCCCTGACAGGTTCTTTGAAAATGGATGGAACTTGTGATTTTGTTATTTCTGCACAGCAGTTTGTACAGTTAGACCAATAGCGTAAGGAAAAGTAAAACATTCTAAAATAAAAGTTTCTAGGACAAGTAGAACAAGTCATGAAACATGCGGTCACTAGAGACCTAGGAGCAATTAGATATGTATTCACTTCTGACTTTCCTGTTGCATATGTCTGTGGAAGAACTTTGTTCACACAGGTGTCAAAATGCATGTAAAACCCACATTTGCTGATGGGGTTAGTACTGTTAATTTCCCTGAGTCCACATTTGGAAGTTGCAAAAATGAAGGGTGATTTTTAGTTTCAGTGTGCAATATGACTAGTTATCCCTCACAGTGTTTTTACTCAGAATTAAAATTTCAACTCCTAATTTTGAAATAACATAAGTTACTTTTTTTTATCCTGTTTATTCAATGTAGATGTAAATAATCAGTATTTAAAGCAACTTGAACAGATGTCTCTGCTTGGAAGCTTTTGGTCCTTAATTTTTTTGTATGGGAGTTTTTTTACTGCAAAAGCTCATCCCTGAGCAAATAAAGTTGTTTACAGGTATAGTCATGTAATGTGACTACATTGTTAAAGGATTTAATTGCATGATAAATTTTCCAGGGTAACCTGATGGCTTACTTTGTTATAATAGCAGGCTTGGGACAGGTGGGAATGTAAAACTTTGATAGAATCTTTTGTGCTTGGACAATGGTAATCATTGATGTGTTTGTGTAGTGAGAAGTTTTATCTCAAAAGCTGGCTTTGAAAACTTGTATTGTTAGGGGAGCTGCAAGTTCCATAAAACTGGACTGCTGGAGTTGGTAGTTTCTAGTTTGTAAAATGAGTACTTTGTTTGGTTTTTTAGTAAATACAATGGTCTTAAACAATATTACAGATGACTGGAAAGAAAAACTGTTAAATAAAATGTAAATGTTTTAGGTGAGAATAGACATACAAAACCCAAACATTTTAAAAATAAATTCTCAAGTTTCTTGAATTTACCAGAGGCAAAAATTCCCTTGTCTTTTCTCCCCAGATAGTGCAGTTTTAGAAGTTCATTTGTTGGTCTCTTTCCCCTTTCCTTTCACATACATACTCATCTCCTTGCACATGTTACACATCTTAGAAAATTAAAATTGTCTGGTAGTATAGATTGATGATAACTGATTAACACAATCTGAAATCAATTGACATACTAATTAATAATCCTGTAATGCATCTGTGGGCTGCCTTTCTAGGGTGTGTGCAGGGAAAGGGAAGATTGTGAGCTCAAGTACAGGATTTTGACTTTTTTGGAGAGAGTGACCTTTTACAAGTTAGGCACTTGGTTTGAATGCCAAGTGTCCTTTATAGCAGCACATATTTCTGTCAGAATGGGATTAAAAGTATCTGGTGTAGTTCTGTAATGGAATCTACATGGCATTGTTTAATGAGCTGAAAAACAATAAGCAACCATCCAACGAGCCGAAATGTCTGTTCAAATGTGTAACACTGTGCTGCACTACAAATAGTAATGTGGCTAAATGTGCTAGTTTTAACTTTCATTTCAAACTAAAAGAAATAGTTCAGTTATGTATGATTGTCATGAACTCAATGCACTGAAAAGGAACTGTAATGACTACTGTATGATGATGATGATTGAATAGACAAATGCTAATACATTATTTAAAAGTCAATATGTTTTTTATTTTCCTTTTATACTTTTAAGAGTGAATTGTAAAAGGAATACAGTAACTCCAAAAAAAGGGTGCCAGAGAGCTACTGTTTCCAAGTGATAAAATGCTGCAGCACTATAAGCAGATTTTTTAGTTTCTTTTTAGAAAGGTCAGCAACTTTTTAAGTATTTTTTTCCCATCACTTCCTTATCCTGCTGAATCACTTCACCTCTCTGTGCATGTTTAAGGGAATAATTCCCTACCCTGAATAATTGGAGACTGGAGCTGTTCTCAGTCACCAAACCTTGGGAGATGAATATTTTAAATTTTTTTTGTTGTCATCATGATTCTGTATTTTGTATTCTTTGTGTTATGAGTTCTTATGTTTTAAGCCTTGATTGATTTTGAACTACCTAGTTTAAATAATTAATAAATGGAAATAATGAAATTGAAGAGAATGTTTCCCAGCTTTTCTTCTGCATTTGGCAACAGTTTTGCTTCTTCCATTTAAATTGGTTACATTTGAAACTTACATATTACATACTTATTTTTTGTGTGCATCTCCATTACCCTTTCTCAGGACCATTTCTCTCCTTTGCCAGAAATGCTTCCAGTATCTATCCAAAGAGTTGCAGTATCACAATACCATTATTTTTTATCAAATCACTATTGACAAAATCGAGAAATCCCAAGAAAAAGAATTCTGTGAAAACAGGTAGAATATGTGAAAATATGAGGAAAACCAAAACAAACTAACCTGGAATTGAGTTCCTGTAGGTTGTGATTTAGCAAGTTATCACTGTTTTTTTTTTCTCCTTTTACAATAAATTGTTGTTTCTACTTCAACTTTTCAGGCACGGGTACCTTTGGACGTGTTCATCTGGTGAGGGAAAAAATGGGCAAACGTTACTTTGCACTGAAAGTAATGAGCATTCCTGATGTCATTCGACTGAAGCAAGAGCAACACGTGCACAACGAAAAGTCTGTCTTAAAAGAAGTCAACCACCCCTTTTTGATCAGATTGTAAGTTCTTGTGTTTTTTTAATTCATTTAACTCATGCATTAAGTGCAGTTAAAATATTCCAGGGTCTCAATTAACCAATGCTGAGCATTTAATTTCTATTACATAATCTAGACTAAAATAGACTTTGGACTAAAATATTTATTATAGAAGAATGAAGAATTTAAAATCAAGATGCATAATTTAAACATTCAAGCAATAATTTATGATAAGAATTTTTCTGTCTCTTATTTTCATACTGCAGAAGAGAAATCTTCTTAAGTGAGGGGAAAATACTAATGAAGAATTGTTAGGATTTGCTCATCAAAACGACTTCTAGAATGATCCTTGATGTTAGAAATGTGATAAAAGTATTTTTACATGTATGTCTTGTAGGTATCTAGCTAAAGATATTATTAAATTTAAATATCTGCTTTTTAAAAACTTATGTGAACTCTTGGAAACTTTAAGGAGTTTAAATAACTGCATCATTTCTTGGACTTTGATATTCCCATATTTAAGGTTGTTAAGTGATGGAACCTATTGAGAAACATGTTTTAAACACAATTCATAAAGAACACTTTTTTTTTTTCATGGAATTATGGTAATTCTAATGATCCCAGTAATCCCATTGTTAAAGATAGAAGTTATCATACTTTTCTGTTCACAGCACCACAGCATTTCTTGTGTATCTGAGTCCAGATCTATTAATTGGATAATTAAAACTCTGGGTAGTTGCAGAGTCAATTTCCATTTATATTTTCTCATGCATGGATATAGGGCTATTGACCAAGATTTGTTTTGCATTTACCTGCCTTAATCAGTTTTACATAAAAGTAGACAAAATTAACCTTAGTCTCTAGCTGCCAGGAGTGCAGTCTCCTCCCAGGGCTCAGAAAGTATCAGAGAGAAAGAAGAAGGAACAGCATGATAGTCATCCAGAAGATGGAATGAGCCTTGCAGGAGGAGGATTTTTCTCTGGTGTGTTGTTGCTTTTTCCAGCATCATGATGCAATTAGTTTCCAACTAGTGTTCAGAAATCCTGTGTATGGCACAGGATCAGTAAGATGAGTTCTATGGTGTGTGTGGAGTTTGAGATGCTTGGAGGAAAGCAAGATGAAGAGGCTGGGTGCATCTGGTTAGACTGGTTGGAATACGGACGGAACAGGGGGAACAGGATTTTATGTGTATGTCTATGTACATAAGTAAATTCTTTAAAGAAAACCCTACCAAACCCAGCAAAAAAACCCAGCTAAATAGGTCTGTGTGTCAGGAAGAGTGAGAATAGAGAAACCTGTGTGACATGTCAGAGATAGGGATGCAGGGATTCATGTCCATACAGAAGTGATCAAAAATCCAAACTGATAAGTTTTCTTGAATTTCATTCATACCTTATTTCCAAAATACCAGATTTTTAAAGTTGCCAAAGGACACAATTCAAATGGAAGTTTGCTTGTGTGCTGCAAGGCAAACATTTTTCACGTCTTCTAGAGCTCTGCCTTTTCTGTTGAAATGTCCAATGAGACATTGCATCAGCTGTGCTCATGTAATTGTCCATGTGATGCCTTTGTCCCTTGGTAAAGGAGACTCAAAGCAACCTAGCTGAAATGAGGTAGTTAAAATTTAAGTCACAATAATATTTGTGTGCTTTAGGTTAAACAAGTTTTCATGGGTGATTATCACTGACTGTATGACAAATAACACTTTCTATAGCTTTTTATGTGGGTAACAGCTTTTTTCAGCTGCCCAATAGATGTGGATTTTTCTATGAATTCTTTAAAGTGTTTTACTAAATGTTTAACAAAAAGGGAAAAAATTGATATAGTTCTGCTTCAGTGCCTTTAAACTGTGTTATCTACTTCCTGGGTTTTATATCTTCAGTTAGCTTCACCATCTTAAACATGGATGGTATTTTCCTCAAGGAATCTGTGTCAGTGAAGCACAATACTTCAGCATTTTATGATGGAAAATAATAAGTAATGCTGCACATAATTTATTTCCGGTGTTCGTCCTTCCTATGTCTTCCTTTATATAAAGAGTTTATATAACTTTTTTTCGTTTTCCTGTTGCTCGTGAGAAATGTCTTGTCTGCATTTAGGGAGGTCTGTTTTTTCTGTAGACACTTAAGTTATTTATCTACATATTTTTTAAACAATTTTTTGTAAATGCTTGTTTGGTGCTCTTGCAATCTTTACTGCATGTTTGAGTGATATATCATACCTCTGTGTGCAACACTTCATAGTGAGCTGTAATGTTGACATGTATCTTTTGATTTTTTTTTTCAAGAGAACAAGAATTAATAAAAGTCCACTGTGTCTTGTAGACCTATAAGCTAAAACTAAGGTTGTTTGTAAGCTAAGGTTGTCTCTGAGAGTTCACAGTGGCATCGAAAGTTCATGTAGTAAAGCTGAATTGTAGAGTTAACATCACCATGCATATTATTCTGATCACAGCTTCTGAGATTTTTTTCTTCTTTTTTGTATTGGAATTACCGTTTAAAGCAATCTACATTGCAAGTATCGAAGTTCTTAATTTTACTCTTTTTCATGTATATGAAATAACATATCCATTTTTTCTGTGGAAACTACTGTAAAGCTACTTTGTTTTAATGGTCTAGATCTTCCACTTTTCCCCCTCTGTATTCTTTGTCAGATTTTGCTCTTTCTCTCCACGTACATGTTCTTTTAAATATGTGGTTTGCTTTGTTTTGCCCACTCCTGTTCTTCTTTCATTGTTTATTATTTATTAACTACCTGAAGTTCATCTCCAGAGTGTTTTTACAAACAGTCAATAAAGATACTGTGGACATCATCAATAGTCAATTCATTATGTTGATGGGTGTCATAGGGAAGAAGTTCCATAAAAGCAAAGGCGAGCCTGGACTCTGCTTTCTTCATCACTTTGAAGGAATGGAGGAGCTGTTAGTGATGTCTGGTAGTCCATCTCATTTTCTTGGTTGCCTCAGTGGTGGTATTAAAAAATAAAACCTTACTGAGTAAAAGTCATTCACGTGTTTGGGACCTCAGCTTACTCTGCCTGTCTTTGCTGAGGCTCTCTGCCTTGATTAAGTGCCCGATGATACTGCAGAAGTACTTGTGATACTGCAGAGGCAGTTACTAGAAGCTAAAGTAGCCTCTCTTCTTGTATCAATAAAGTAGGTAGGGATACAATGTTCTCTGTCTTTTATTAAAAAATTGGGGCTATCTCTTTTTATTAAATGATAGTGTTCTTCAAGGTGTTGTTACAGATAGTTTCTTCTTAACAGTTGAGTTACATTTGGGTGTGTGGTATGTGAGTTGTTTAGTGTGGATAGAAAGAAAAACAGCTTAGTTTAGGGGAATGTGGGAGGAAAGATTACTGTATTCTGTAAATGAAGCATTTTAAAGCCACATGGAATTATTTTCTTTCTTCTTTACCTGTTCTTTACTGTTCTTTACTGCACACTAATAATGACTGTACCACAATAATAGTTCTTAAATCGAAGGTGGCAGTCACAGTCTGAGGAATGGAAGGTACTTATCATTGGGTTAATTCTGAGGTACAGAAATGAATCCTGTTTTGGTGTCATTTTTGCTTTCCTACTGCTTTTTGTTAAAAGATACCATAGAAGAGCAAGCATTGTGATCTGATGCTTTAGCTGGGGTTGTGTATTTCCAGGGAAGGAGAGATAGAAGGACAACTCTGTGATGTCTTATTTTGAATGTATTGTCATGAAAGTCTTTACAAAAGCAGATTCTGCTCACCCCCATCACTTTGACAGTGTTTCATTACATAAAATGTAAGGTGTGTAAGAAATGTCTGGTCTTTACATCAAGTCAGTTATTTGATGCTTAGCTGATACCTATTTTGTACAATGCAACAGAGTCTATCAGTTAATTTACTTCCTTGGCTTGTGCTGTACTCATCCTCAACTACCTGTTTTACGTTGCAGGTTAAATCAGCTACCTTGAATGTCTGTTACATAATCTTGCTGGATTCTTGGGGGTTTGATATTTGCAGACTAGATATCAGAAATTAGTTACATACATTTTACGGAAATTTTCTTCTAAAGCAAATTGGAGACATAATTTCTTTATTCAGTAAAATAATACTTTTATTACAGATTTTGGACCAACCACGATGAACGTTTTTTATATATGTTAATGGAATATGTACCAGGAGGAGAACTTTTTAGTTACCTGCGCAACATGGGGCGTTTCAACAACAGCACAGGACTGTTTTACTCTGCGGAAATTATTTGTGCAATAGAATACCTGCACTCCAAAGAAATAGTTTATAGAGACTTAAAACCTGAAAATATATTACTGGACAAAGAAGGACATATCAAGCTTACTGACTTTGGATTTGCTAAAAAGCTGGTGGATAGGTAAGTGGGGTTTTCTTATGGTAATTACATTTTGCTTGCTAAACAGTTATGAACAAAAAGGTTTGATTTCATCTGACACCCCATGTGATTCATACATGTCAAGTCATTTAATATGAAGGAAGTAATCATCTTGAAATGGCTGCATGGAAACCCGTATTACCCCTTAAGTATAACTAGGAGCAATATCACACATAAGCAACAGTAGAAAAATATTTTTAGATGAGTGATTTTGTATATTGAAGTTTTCAGCAGTCATCTTATATAAAGGGAGTTCAGTAAAGTAATATGAGCAAATATTAAAATCTGTACATTAATCCTCCATACATATTGAATGGCTAAATGTTTTGTAACTCGTGTTTCCTTCTGCTTTCCTTTTAGAGATTTTTGAAGTGTGAGAATAACATTTTAAAACTGCATACTGTGTTAGCCTGTTGCTAAAATGAAACTGCAAAAATCTAGACAAAAACAATGAAGTCAGCTTCAGCAGAATTGGTTTATTTAACTGTTAACTTTTACGTTACTGTAAGCTTTAATAGTATATATAAACTTTTTGATAATGCAGAGGGTTTTTTCTCTCTGTTTGAACTACTCTTCCAAGATGACATGCATGTTCTTAAAAGGAAGCAAGAGCATTGAGATTCAAGAAAACGGAGGGAAATCTAGCCTGTTGTATCAGAAAAGCAATGTGACAAAGTTTGATATTATGCCCTTGAGCCATCCTTGAGGGGAACAGTATTATATTGTTCTAGTTGAGGCAGCTAGTTAGGTGTTATATAGGTGCTTATTCTCTTCACTCATCTGTGTACCTGTTTGATGCTGCTTTTGCAACAGATGTTTCGGTGGGTGAGGATAATTCTACAACTTCAATTTGAAAGGAGGGTGGATCTGAGGGAGCTACTTAATGGATCCCTTACAAAGTAAAAGTCAGATAAGAAATCAAATCATATTATGGAGGTCATAATATCTACTTCCCCACGGGTAACATGCACACAGTGCTGGGTTGCCTTGGCACAGAAAAATGGTAGACAACTAATAACTAATAAGCTGGTTCTATTCACCTTTAAGGTCTACAAGTATGTTTGAAAACCGTAGAATTTTAATATCAACACATTTGATTGAATTCAGTTTCCATTGGGCAAGCAAATAGGCATCCAAATGCTGACCTTTTCTTTTAATACTTTGTTTTTAGATCAAAATAACTTCTTGCAGAAAGAGGTAATGCTACTTACATGTAAGAAAGTGGGACAATCTCTTTATAAGACATTTTCATGCAAATTCTTATGACTTTCTCTTGACATGTAGATACTGCCACTTAGTGGTTATTCTTGATCTGGATTTCTGTGGCTTTAAGGCACAACAGAAGTAACCCTTAGTTAAATAAGGTGATAGTTCACATCAGAGTATATTTTTTCAACCTGGAAGATAAATCTCTATGAGTGGATTGGTTCAAATGCATTTTAGGACATCAAAACAAGTTATCACTACTGGTTTTAATTGGTTTTTTTGTTTCCTGTATTTCCTGGAGGGGAAGTGAAATCGATTAGCTTGTGTTAAATTGAACCATAGAAGACTATAGTGGTTTTATATTCCTAGCTGATTTACCTGTAAATGTATGACAGGTAATATAAATACAGAACATAACATTGGAAGGAGCAAGAACATTATCAGTTAGAGCAAAGACTTGCACCTGTGCAAGTCTGGTTTAGTTTTTTGTGTTATTGGTTTTATTGGAACTACACGATAGTTCCCATAGTACACTCGCTAGTATATTGGCTGAAGTCATTTTTACGAAGCTGGTTTTGTCACTGTAAAGATACACAGTTGTCACCATTTATCCACAAATGCACTCCAGTAAGTTCTTTTGTTTATGGCATAGGCTATTTAATTAAAATTATGGGATACGTTTTGTCATTTTTATGTTGGCAAACATCTGTACATATGAGTCTTACATGTACATGTACACGTGTGTAGATGTGTGTGTATATATACACTGTATATGAATTGCGAAAATAAGACAAGAAGCCTTAATGTTTCTCAAACATTATGAGGTAACCTGCCACTCAGGATCAGCAGATATATTCCTAGAGAGAAGAAAACACGATATGGAAATTAAAGCATCATCTCCAGGAGACCTTTGATACAATTACACATTCTTGATACATAATACTTCACATGAAAGATTCTGTAGCTGCCTAATTGAGGTTTTGCTGTACACATTTTCCTTCCTTCCCATTACGCTATGTGAAAACACGAAGTGTTCACCATGTCCATCTCCAATTAAGCTGCTCTTTAGAAGAAGTGTCTGGCTCATAGCTCATGTTCCCACTCTGGGAAGCAGCCTACATGTTTACCTTCTTATTAGTACAATTTCTGAAGGGCTAGATTCTTAATATTTTCTTTATATAGACAGAGGAAGGAGAGGAGGTTTTCTTTTCTCCTTCTGTTCCTTGTTGGTATGTCCTGTTTATCCTTGTTCCTGCTTTTGCAGTCGTAGTGTACGTTTAAAAATTCTAAATTTTTCTCCAAAACAGTGTGTCTTTGCCTCAGCTGCTGTTTATTTCTTCTCTTTTCCACTTTGATGTTGCTTAACTGAAGACTTAATAACCTTTTCAGTTTCTTGTAAGTACATTTATACTTTAAAAAAGGGGCAGTGTCAAGAAGAGCGATGGGGAGGGGATTTTTATAAATTATTGTTACGTGAAGGTTCTAGAAAGGATTTGCTTTGAACTTTGCAGCCATTACATTTGTAGACCTTTCTTTTTCTGAAAAGTATACACCACGTTTTGTGTATAGTATTTCCATTAAAAATTTTTTCTAATGTGTTTTTTTTTTTTGTATATACTTTTGGTTGGTTTTTTTATTCCTGTGTTCTTTCAGAGAAGCTTAAAACTAATCTGCATGGAATTTTATATTTTTTTATGCTCAGATTTCACTCAGAAAGTTATAAAAGTTTTAGGTAAAGTTAAAACTTTTTTTTTTTTTTTGGAATGTTAATTTTAGTTTCTTCAGTTTATATTCTTAAAAAAAAATTACCTGTGAAAGTCTTTTAGAAACTTGAAGTGATTAATCCTAAATATATTCAGGATAGTTCTACACTGTTCCTTAAGCTGAATGTGCCTCATGTTTTTTCTGCAGAGTGGATATTGCAGAGAAAAAAACTAAGTAAGACACACAGTAAGTCTGGTTTACAAAGTGTATTGTTTGTCACTGTAGAAACAAGCAAGAACGTCTTGCAGAACAAATTTTTGTGGGCTGGAAACAAAGCAATCTTTATTAATAGTATTACAAACAAATAGCCAGAATACCAGAAAGAACATTTTTGGTAATCTCTGGCTCATATGCTAGAAGCCTGTCAATTACTACAGAGATGGATGCTGAATGGTGTAGAATGCTAAAATACATTAACTTCTTACATTAACTACTAGTACTCTTAATAAGTCCCACAAATATTATTTTATAACTTACCTTTGTAACCACAGTAGATTCTTTGTTTTATTTCCATATTTTAAAATTCAGTGTTCAACCTTATCAACTATTACTTACCTGCATTTCAACTTTTTTCCTGAAAACGCAGAGCAGTGGATATTTTCTAGCAGTTTCAAGGGAACAGTCTATTCTTATTTTCCTGCATTGTAATTTATCTTCAAAAGGATGATCTGAAGTTTCAGATGAGTATGAAATAGTCATAAAATAGTAATAATAAAAAAAAATTTAGGCATGTTATCTATTTATAGCTCTTACTTGATGTGTTTTCCAAAATATTAAGTAGTTTGTTTCTTGACCAACAAAAGGGGAAACACAAGTCTTACACATCTTACAGCAAAATACGTAGCTTGGAAAAGAACACGAGCTTCTTCCCTGTTTTTGTGTAGTCAATGAGAATAAATTTCTTGGTGGTAATAAATTTTATTTCCTAGTGCAGCTAGGAGACTTCAAGGTATGTTAGCCTTTGGTTAATTCGCAGTTTTCCTCTTGCTTCCATAAAAAGATCTTGTTAATAACCTGTATGGTAACTGAGTCATTTTACATTGTCCCCAGCAAATTGTGTAGGTCCTGGAAGTCATGGTCAAATGATTTATTTTTTTCTTGTATGTAAATGACCTTGATAAGGGATGAAAACCTTCTTCTTCCCAAGTATAGTAAAACTGTCAGCTGCTTCACTTGCAGAGCTGGCTAAATCAATGTGATTAACAATGCATACAGTGCTGTTTTGCATATAGCTTTTTAAATTTGGGAGAGGGAGAAATTTTTGTTTTAAAAGACAACAGAGCTTTGCTGTTTTTTCTGAATTCCGTAGTGCTGATCCATGCAACTGCTAGATGGCAGTAGTGTCAAGCAGTGCTGAAAGTAAGAGATTTCTTCAGTATGCTTGATCTGGAAAATGAGAGTTTAAACTTTTTTAGATAAATTTATGATAAAAATTAAAAATGCATTGTTTACACTAATGAAGGTAGTTTCAAGAGCCATGAAGCACATTGGATGCACAGCGTGTCTTACGCAGTCTGACAGTTTACCTGGAGTAATTTAGCTTTCACCATAGGAAAATCAAGCTTGAAGAAATTCAAGTCATAATTTTTCGTTTAAAGCCTTGGCTGACTGTACAGCTCCTCTTCCTTTATCTTAAATATTTTTATGAATATAAGCTAAGGCTTAAAAAAAACCCAACAAACAAAAGGAAAACAAGGGAAAAACACCTCGCAAAAGCTCTCTTTAAAATAATTCATGGAGTCATAGAATATGCTGAGTTGGGAGGAACCCATCAGAATCATTGAGTCCAGCTCCTGGCCCTGTGCAGGACACCCCAAGAGTCACACCATGCGCCTTACAGTGTTGTCCAAATGCTTCTTGAACTCTGAGGCTTGGTGCTGTAACCACTTCCCTGAGGAGCCTGTTCCAGTGCTCAGCCACTCTCAGGGTGTAAAACCTTTCCCTGATATCTAACCTAAACCTCCCCTGACTCAGTTTCATGTGGTTTCCTCAAGTCCTGTCACTGATCACCAAAGTGAAGAGACTGGAACTTACCCCTTTACTTTCCCTCATGAGGACCACAATGAGACCCTTCAGTCTCATCTTCTCCAGGCTGAATAAACTAAGTGACCTCATCTGTTCCTCATAAAACTTCCCCTCCAGACCCTTCACCATTTTAGTTGCCCTCCTTTGGATGCTCTCTAATAGCTTAATGTCTTTTCTATATTGAGGTGCCCAGATCTGCACACAGTATTCAAGGTGAGGCTGTACCAGTGCAGAGTAGGATGGGACAATCACCTCCCTGCAGTCTCAGAAAAGTTGTTGAATTAGTATTACTTCTAAAAGTGATTGCTACTCATCTTAATGCATTTGTTCAGGAGCATGTTACCAGTTTGCTTGGAAAAGATTCTTCCTGCTCTCACAAATATTCAATGAGAGGTTTTTTTGGTGCAAGGTAGAAATCATGTGCAGTGACCATTTGTGACTTTATTCTTTGTCATATCTAGGTAGAACTGTTTTTAAAATGTGATACACTTTTTTCTTTCTTATTCTGTGCTGTTATTTCATTTTCTCTGAATTGGTGAGCACTTTTTCATCTTTTGACTTGGTATTGAGTAAGTGCAATTTATTCAGAAAGCAAGCACATTTTTTCTCAAATGTGTACTTAAATCAGAGGAGTGAAGCCCGGCAAATTCTACTTGGGCATTTTTACAAAGAAGAGCAATATATTTCTGGAAAAATTGGTTACAGAATATTCTTTTCAAATTGTAATTTAATCTTTGTAAACATACCTGCTTAATTTCAATTTATTTCATGTCTTTACAGAACTCAAAATATACATTTCAATTAGTTAGCAGTATAACACTGTTTTATCCTTACCTTATCATAGAAAGCTGTGACTAAAAATGACATTAAAATATATCAAAAATAGTGCTGCTTACATATCTCACATTTGCATACTACACCTTTGTAAAAATACAAAGTGTTTTAATGGATATTGTGGAAGTGATAACAGGTTTCATTTCAATACTATCTGAAAAACTTTACTTAGATTGTAAAATGAATCTATCTTGTATGTGTGACTATTTACTGATTTAAACTACTACTTTTTTAACTCCCTTCTTCCCTTTGTTTTTATAAACAAAACTTCTTCCTTCTTCTGGAAAAGGCTAATAAGCTGGTCTTCTGCTGTGCCTGTCAGTAGTAGTCCATGAACTCCCAGGGTCTGCAGCTCACAGGGTGAAAAGCACTGTTAGTACTTTCAAAGAAACATGCAGGCTAATAGATAGAGTACCATACTACCAGTCAGCAAACTCAGTCCACAGACATTTTCTGCAGCCAAGAAGTTTATTCATTTCCATGTATCTCTGTTACAAAGTGGAGAGCATCATCAAAGCAGTCTGTTTAGATCTTGTAGAGGCCTTTCTTATTTCTGTTTCTATATACAGTAAATACATAGGTATATGTGTGTGTTTGTTTTTTCCTATTCCTGTGTTTCAGTTTAACTTCAATCTGGTTTTGTTGTTTGTTTTGTGGGTTTTTTTCCTTCTTTTACTTCCAGAACGTGGACTCTCTGTGGCACTCCTGAGTACCTTGCACCAGAAGTTATACAAAGTAAAGGCCATGGAAGAGCTGTGGATTGGTGGGCCTTAGGAATTCTTATATTTGAGATGTTGTCAGGGTAAGTGACAATTACTATATCACAGCAATATTATGTAATACAGTAATACAGGATTCTTTACAAGTTCTGTTTACAATATTTGGATTAGCAAATTTGGGCTAAATTTATTATTGATATACTAGTTTAATTTTTGCCTCTGAAGCAAGGAATTGGGAAGCTGTACAAAAGAACAGATATCACTGTTCCTATGGGAATGTTTTAGATTTTTGAATTTGTTGGGTTTGTTTGTTGGTTTGGTTTGGGGTTTTTTTTTGTTTTACTTAAGACTTTTATAACAACTGCTCTTTTCCCCATCTGTTTTGGAAATTCAGGCTTTGTCAAAGTTTAGATTTTTTTTTCATAAAATCCTTTAAAGGCTAAAGAAGAGGATTACTTCTGTAATTAATTTCTAGCATAGCGATATAGTACTTGCAGTGGGAGCTTTAGTCTGTAAAAATGCATAATGGCAAGTAGGAAGTATTAATACACTTTGTATTACTACTGAGCACTGATGTTTTAATTATTTTTTTTTTAAAAACCAAAGGAAGAAGAACAGGGAAAAACTTTAAAGGTGTATTTAAAATCTATTTGTTCAAATGCTACATTTGATGTTTTGGAATTTGTTTGATAAGCAATGTTTCCTAAAGATACAGATTTAAACTAAATTAACTGGCATTAATATAATTAACCGTTTATGACTTTCTAGTATTAGTTATATAAAAGCAATTGCCTTAGTTTGCTCTGATTTCAAAAAAGAAATACTGTTTTTAGTACAATAAATAACTGATTTAGGGAGAATGTGAAATTCTGCTTATGTACTAAACAAGGCTTTGCCATGGTGTAGAACAAATCCAGGCGAAAGCAAGGCCTTCATAGTTTCTGAAGAAACATAGTATATTTCATGAGTTTGGTTTCTTAGAACTTCTTTTTGGTACCTGAGTGAGTGTGCTCTATGCCTTCTCAGTCTCCACATGTGTGTCAGGGTGCTTCTGTGGCCTTTCATTGTAGATCTGCAGCCCTGTAGAGTGATCGGAACAAAATGTCCTTGCTTGGATTTATTCATCCTTTTCTCTAGTTAGCACTGTCGCTCTCACTCAGAGTAACTTTGGTGACTCTTCCAGTGTTTGGACAAGCTCATCAGATTGCCTGATCAAGCAGATTCCCTGGTGGATGGATAATTACTTCAGAGCTCTAATTCATTGTGTGTATTACTGTGAAGAAGTCCACCCAATAGCATCAAAACTTTATCCCATGACAGTATTGCTGCCCGCTGCTTGCTTTCTCAATATCCTGGAGGCTTGCATATGCATTGACTTTGAATCTCAAGGCAATTTGTAGACAGAAAAGCATAAAAATATGTAATAGTTCTTACTGAGCCAGGCAGCTTTTGCTGCCTGGTCTGATACAAAGTCGTCATTTATGTAGGCTAATCTGTGCAGAGACCAGGCTTCACCTTTCTTCTATCGCTCCCTGTAAGGTGAGCAGCCCAAGTTGGTCAAGAGGAATCCTTCTCAGAGGGATGAAAGCAATTCCCGGCAGTCTTGTTGGGAATTGCTAATCTTAGTCCTAGACAGCAGGAAACTGTAGGTGAAAGCGTCTGGTACTGTAACATGAGCACAGGTGCTGCAGTCACCCAGCTGTAGTCTGAGTGATTTACCTTCCTACCACGGGCTTCACTGGGACCACTCACTGGTCTATGTGGTCTCAATGTAAGTGGATATCAGACCTTTTTTCTTTGTGTGCCTTACAGAGATGTTGATGGGATTCTTTCTACTAGAGCAATAAGAGAAGCAAAGTTTCTATTTTACTAAGTTAACATGCTGCCTACAGGTGATAATCGAGCAAGATCTCATTTCTGGACTGGAGGGTGCTGAAGTATGACTGCTATGTATTCTACTGAAATATGACTGGCATATCTTCTTCATGAAAAAAGGGAGCAGCTGCAGTCATTTCTATGTAGGGCCTTCTGTGTCATGACACCATCTGGCTCAAGGGATGAAATCTGGATTCTAGGGGGGTGGGGAGGGGTGGCTTAATTTGAACACTTTGGCTTTAGAGACCTTTAACCAATAGACGTAAATTACAGTTTTCTAAAAAGCAGTTGAGGCCTTACATAGGCTGATTGACAGAGCAGCTGTCTGCTGCGTGCGACTTTGTCATGGCCTTTGCTACAGTATTTGTGTAGACGTGCTCTTCATAATTGAATGCTGTTTTGAATAGGGACTCCATCCAAAACTAAAAAATAAAAAGCAGCTTTCAGTCATTATCAAAACTGGGATAAGGTTTGGTTTGGAGGTTTTGGGGGGTTTTTTTGATTGTTTGGTTTGGTTTTTGTTTGGTTTGGGTTCTTTTTTGGTTTGGTTTGGTTTTTGGGGGGCGGTTGTTGTTTGGGTTTTTGGTTTTTTGAGGTGGGGAATGTAACTTTATACTACTTAGGTCTGTGTTGTTTTTTTTTTTTTTAGGAGGTATAGAGGGAGGCAGAGATTATGGCTTGTATGTGTTCCCTTTTAGGTGGGTAGGTTGTCACATAGGGCGGATGCTTTTAGTGTTTTATCAGCTTTTAACTGTTGTTGACAGTAGTCTTTTTAAATGCTTTTCCTCACCAACTGAAGATGTGGCTTGATATTTATGCTATCGAGGCTTTTAAAGCATAAACAGTCCTAGGTAACTTTATCCTTTGAAACCCAAAGAAGTTTTAAGAAATACGAAAATTTTTTTAAGGTGAACAAAACCTGACTTCGACTAAATTATTGTCTGCAAGTAAATTAACTTAAGACATTTGGTAGTTATTTCCTGAAATTAGTCTCTCTGAAGCCCAAAAGCAATTGAAAAGAATTGGTAGATGTGTATGTAAGGAAATCATCTTTGTAAAAACAAACAAACAAACCCACACTTTCCTGTTCTATGGTGTCTTATTTCCCTGTCTTAATCTCTAGAGGCCCATGGAATTCTAGTTCTGCACATACTAGATTTAAGGCAAGGTCCCGTTTAGGTTTAAGACAGTAAGATATAGGAAAGGGAAAAAACAGGGAGAACCAAAGTTGAGAAGAAATCTTTACAGAACACAGAGTAGAGTTAATCTAAACAAACTGTCAATACAAAAAGCTGGAAAATCTGTTTGAGTAAAAGAGTTCTGTTACAATTTACCATAGAGGAAAATTTATTTGTTATTTAACATTAAATATGTTAAATCATAATTGTACTGTCATCAGATACGTAGGTAACTGAGTTTTGCCTATTAATGAGGGCTTTGTGGGGTTTTTTTGCATTGGTGGTCACACGTGATGTGCTGTTCTGTCATTTTAGGTGGTAATGGTTCTTGTCTGCAGATTCATATTCTCAGACTTGGGTGTTTTCACCTGAGGTTTTACAACTTCTGTTCTTCAGACTATCTGTTATCTTTGAGACTAATGTCAGTGCCATTGTTGTGCATAAGTTAGCAAAAGGAATGGTTTGAAGCTGTTGTCCCATTTACAGAGATATTACTATTTATAATATAGCTTGTTTTCAGTTGATGGAAAAAAGGCAGCTGTTTGTTTTTGTGTTATGGTGTGAAGACAGTCTGAAGCTCAAGGGGTTTTTTGATGATTTATTAGGTAGCTTCCAGCACAATACTTGTGTGTTTTGTCTAAAGACTGTGCTGTGTTGAAGAGAGACATTTACAAGAACCATCAAAATCAAGTTATTTGGTTTGTCATAAGAAAACTATGTAATCTTTGAAAGCAGTTCTCATTTTGTATATAGTTCAAATACACTTTAAGCAGCATTGCCATAAACTTATTCTATAGCCAAGTGTAATTTAAATTTCTCTTAAGAGCTCTAGACATTCTAATTTTGAATTTTCAAAGTGGGAAAGCCAAGAGCAATTTAAACATGTAAATATGTAAAAAATCACACTTTTTATTCTTCTTGATTTCATACCTCAGTGTACAGTAATGTGTTTACTGCAGCTGGCACTTTTGTAATACATATTCACAAAGTTTCATTGTGATAGCTTTATGCATTTATAGATGCTAATATGTAATAACAAATAGAAAATTGAGTGTACTGTTTGTCAACTTGCTGTGGAGAATGTGAAGAACATTAATATTACCTGACTAAAAAAAAACTTTGTGTGGGAAAATTTTGTGCGCGTTAAATACTTACAGCGTTTTCCTTGTTCTTTAGTGTCAAAGCAGAAATTTTTGATAACCAAAGTACTCTTCCTGAGATTCTTCTATTTTCCAGTTACTTGGAAAGTAGATTTTCATAATGAAACTACTCTGGCTTTCTGAACACCACCAAGAAATGTTCTTTAGTCTTTCCTTAACCATATAGTTTTGTTGTGCATTTCAGTGCTTTGAACTATTACTTGTTTTTTTACTATGTGCCTACAGACACCTTTACTTAACTATTCTGATGGAATTTGATTTTACCCATGGCCAAATTTTACAGTATTTCAAAGGAAATGCTAATCCACTTGACCATCAGCTGAAAAATGAAGAAATTAGTACTGCTGAAAACAGAATAGAAATGATGCATAGTACTTGTTGAGGAATAAGCTAGTTCAAGTACCATAAAATTAAAGAAAGAACATGAAATGAAGAAGCTTTGGTTTCACCCTTGTTTGTGCTATCAGTGATTTCTAAAGTCACTAGCACTGTATTTGTGTGTGTATACACACAGTTAAGTTGTCTTAGAAAGTAATTATAAAATGTTAGGGTCATGTGAAAATGTTTTAAACATTGAACTGTAATAGTATTTGGATGTTGTGAATATGGTTGACACTCAAAATCATTTTTTTTAATTTTTATTCTGTAGGCATTTTGAGACAGAAACATAGTGAGAGAGATGCTTCAGTCATTTACGGAAGGCAAAGCAGGACTGAGATTAGTGAATGGAGTAGTTCTTTATTCCATTCCCTTAGAAGGTTTCCTGTGGTAACTTTTAAAAACATGACTGACAGTTGGAAATTTCTTGGCACTTGGGCTAAGCTGCCTATACTGGCTGTACTGATGCACTCTGATGTACTCTGAGGCTCTCGCAGTAATCAGGGTAATATATTGTGCTGGTAAAGGAAGCACAAGAGAAAACTCTTAAGTTCTTACTGTAGCTGTACAACAAGAAGCAGTCTCTGTTAGCTCATAAATTCATGAAGAACTTTGTAGAAAATATAAGTGTAGAATTTTATCTGCATCTTGATTTACTGATCATCGTGGGAAGGTTATGAAATAAGTACTTAATCTGTCCCACACAGAAAGACAGCTACATTTTGAGAGTTCTGAACAGTGTGCCTGCAGTTACAGGACAAGGTCAAAAATGGTAATTCTCTTTTGGAAACTATACCCATGGGTTTTACAGATAAAGGCAAAGTATTTTTTACTTCTAATACTGAAAATTTGTTTGATAAATTATATTTTTACTGTATTAATGTAACACTTTTATATTTTTCTATTCTGTTGTAATACTTAAATTTTAATTCTACATTCAGCGTGTTGTGTACAGAAATGTTTGCAGTTTTTCAATGAGAGCCTTAAGTTATTCTTCAAGTTAGGATTTGGTTCATGCTGCCCTACCAAAAAGAACGACATAGTCAGCTATTTCCGAGGGGAATTGCTATAACCTAATACTGCTTATAAGATTTTTAGAACTTCTTTTTCTAACCTCTAAAAATTTTCTGTATTAAAATAGGTTTCCTCCATTTTTTGATGACAATCCATTTGGTATATATCAGAAGATTCTTGCTGGCAAAATAGATTTCCCGAGGCATTTGGATTTATATGTAAAGTAAGTCCGTGACTCCAACACTATATTTTACTTTATAAACATCTCCCGAGCACTGTTTCTGAAGGATCTTCTTAGAAGACAAGATACAAGATTCTGATTTTCTGAAACACCATGTTGGAAAATATTTTACTTTGCATTTACACTTGCAGTCCAAATAAACTTATATATCTGGTAGGCTTCAAGCTGATGATATGGTTGTAAGATAGTATCTGACTCTCTTACTTTTCTGCATATTCTAGGATATTAAATGCTTTTCCACCTTGTACAAGGCTCATTGGTAGCAGGTCCCTGTAAAAAGTAAAGAGGAGAAAGAGAATGAGATAATTTAATACGAGTAAAAATTAGGAGAGCAGGAAGCAAACACTGAATTGTTGTTTTGTATACATACGTACCACTTAAATCTCTCTCAATATAACTACTTGAATGAACTCTGGTACTTCAGAAGTTCTAGTGTAAAATCAACTTAAATTTGTGATAGCAGGGGCCTAGTTCAATATGCGGTATTATATATGCATGTGTGGGTTTTATAGTATTTTGCAGTCATTAAAGGTATATTGCAGGTGTAATGGGTTTTCCTAATTAAAAATTCTATAACTGACTCTTCCGTAAGGAGAGGTCTTGTCTGTGAAGAACTGTGAAGGTGACTGTAAAAGGAGTTGGTCACATGATTTAATCTAGTCCAAACATTGATTGTCTGGAATGATCATGAGAGTTTTAAAAATTGCTTTCAACATGGACTTTTTTATTCTTTTATCTGGCAATTGAATATTTTTCCAGTTGAATTTTAGAATTGTATTCCTGCCAAATACAACAGCTTTTCAAACAATCCAGCACATTCACTCTCAGTTCGTATATTCTTTATGCATAGGCTTTTGTGATTTCAAGGATAGGTGACGCAAAACTCTTTTGATTTTTGGGTAGTAGGTGTTACAGTTAGGGATGGAGAGAGGTAGGCGTATCATTATTATGTTTGCGTTCTTTTCTGTAAATATTGACACTTTTTTAAATTTTTTGTAAAGTTAAAAATTAGAAATAGCCATGCTCTGTAGATCCCCAGCATTTCATACAGTATGTCATCTCTCAGGTCTATCTGAGATTGTAGAAATAAGGATGGTTAAACTTTTGTTCTTTGCTACCATTGTACTTTATGCAAAAAATAGCAAAATCTTTGAGGTAAAAAGTAACTGCTTGCAGAAATACAAAGCTATATTTTTTCCTCAACTCATAAGTAATAAAGGTAATTCAATAGATTATGATACTTTTGATTTATGTTGTAGTTGTTTGGTGCTTAATATTCAAAGTATTTTGCTATTAAAATGGAAGAGTTTTATGTCTCTATACTACTAAAATGTTGATTTAACTTTCTGAAAAACTGTTCAATGAATCTCAGGGGATAATTTTCATTTTCAGTGAAATGAAGCTTATAGATGTTGCTAGCTTTAAGCAGATGACTAGCTCTTCCATGGTTTCCCTGGATATTTAGCATAAAGTTAAGGGTGCAGCGTTATCTGCTTTATATATGTTAGGGCTGTGTTCTGACTAAGAGGTTTGAGATCCATTTTGAGATTTGGAATGCCCAGTAAAATAGAAATATACAAAGAAAGAAATAATGCTACTTGGCAAGGGACAAAGGAGGGAGAAAGTTTCTTTCCTTTGTTTCTTGAAAGAGCAAGAATTCTGCAAGTTCCTTTTGAAACAGGTTATTCTTTTTTATCATTTCCTCTAAAATGTTCTCAAATATGAGGAAATGAATGGGTCAAAGGGAAATAGGTCTGTATTTGTGTGACGGTCAAATATAAATAACTTTTGCTTAACAGAGAATGTATTTTCTTTACTTCAGAGATCTTATTAAGAAGCTACTTGTGGTTGACAGAACAAGACGACTAGGAAATATGAAGGTCAGTGTAAAATGTTAGGTGTAACACGGAACACAGCACGAGGTTGAAAGAATTCTGTAGGAAAGATGTAGAACAGCTCTTCTATAGCTTTTGTTATTATAAGCATGAAAGTTACAGTTTCCCATATGTTACTTTGGTTATGCAATCCCAAATGCAAAGTTTAGTCTGTGTATTCCTGTTTTTCTGAAAATCATACTCCTATATGGGTTAATGCTATCCTTCATAATAGTTCCCCTCCCTGTTCACCACTACCACCCCACTTCATTAATTTGAAAACTTAGATTAGACCAGGAACATAGGATTAAGTCCTGTAGTACACAGGGCCAGCTCATTTGGTTCTTTCTTTAGAGTTGTTAATCCTGGAAGGAACACTAATTATATTTGAAGCTTAAAAATTATTTTCAAGAGTATAAGGGTTATTGTAATACCATGATGTTTGGTCATTGTCTTAGTGGGGCTGATTAAGCACAGCCAAATAGTCTTCCACCAGGAAGAATTAGGCATCCTAATCTCAAGAGACTTCTGAAAGTAATAACTTACTGGAGACTGTGCTCACATGTCCTGGGTAGCATTTCAGAAATACACCTGTATTTGTGGTATGTCAAGGAGAAACACAAAGCGGTCCTCTGAATTCTCTTGAGCTGTCCTTATGTAGTACAGTATGATGTCAAGATGATGAGAGCTGTATGACAAACTTATTTGATTCTACAGCTGTGATTGGTAGTTCAGTGAGCAGTCAGCTGCATGTGAATTAGCTCAAGTACTTTAACAGGCTAGCCAGAACACCACACAAACTCAGTATGGGTTAATTTACCCTTCTGGCAAAGTAAATTAATCCTTTATTTGTTGACTTGCTCTTGTTCTTACAGTGTGGCAGATACCGAAATTAGCTTGGGTAGTTTTTTATTTCTTTAGGGGCAGCTAACATCTTTATTTCTCTGGGTAAGGGAGGTTAGTGGTTTACTTTTTTGCCCAAAGCACATTGAATGGTGCACATAGGTGAAGAAATTAGAAGATGCACAGTCATACAGGTGTCTTTAAAATACTTTTGGTATAAGTGTAAATGCTGTAACCAGCTGTCCAAGGTTTTCTTTTGGAGTCTTTTATGGCACAAAGTCAGACTGGCAAGAAAAGCCAGGAAATAATGTTTTTCTTATCCTTCAGAATGGTTTGCAGTGTTTTTCAGGGGTGGAAGCAGGAGGATTTCATAAGCTGAAAATTTAAAACTGATTAATCAGTGAAAATGTTTATATCTTTAGACAGTTTTGAAGGAAAACAAAAACAAAAGCAAACCTTGATTTATTCAAACATAGGTTTTAGAAAATGTGTTTGGCTGGCTTTTGTGTTGGTTTTGGTCATTTTTAGTCTGTGGTTGCTTAGGTTTGTTTTGGGGTTTTTCCCTGCAGTTGACTAAAATGTCAAAATCAAAACCAGTTCTAATGAAAAGCAGGCTTTGGGGTAGGAGCGGTAGGTCAGACTTGTGTCTGATCCTTTTCCATGATTGTAATTGGTTTAAAAAGAGGTAAATTCCGCTGGACGCTTTCTGGTGAAGCATTGAGACAGATCTGCTTTTGAAGGAACTAGGTGATAATACTGTTCTTCTTGATGTCTCATAGGATATGAGGCAATGGATGGTCTCACTCCACATAAATCTGAAAATGTGTGATATACTTCATTTTGTGGAGTTGTTTGTGGTATGATCTTGAGTGCTATGCTGTGATCAGGCCTGAAACAGAGAACCAGCTGTTTTTCCCCAGTGCTTAATCCCTTGAGAATGAGCCTGTGCTTGAAACAAGTTTCATCATGAAAAAGGAAAAAGACATTTTTGTTCCTTATGTACATAATCAAAACAGGCACCTTTAACTGTATATCTAAAATAAAAACAAATGTTCTAATATATTTACTTCTGTAACAGTACTGAGAATCTCTTGCTGTCAGCACTAAACTTCTGTAATATTTGAGAAGACTTTGTGCTTCCCAGACATTATTTTATTTAAGACACCAACAACTCTCAGTTATTTTTTTATTAGTGTAAGAATTAGAAAGTATATCTGAATAAAAATGTTGGGGAATACAAAAGTGAATAGAACTGTAGTGAATGGTTTTGAGGGTACTTTAAAGCCTGTTCTTGATCTGCATTGTGTCAGAAGAATGCAAAAAACCCCCAAAACATAATAAAACAAAAAAAAACTAAACAAACAACAAAAAGAAAACCAAATAACAAAAACAAAAAAACAAGCCAAACAAACAACAGCAACAACAAACAAACAAAAAACCAAACATTTGGGTCTTATTGCTGGAACTCAGGATCTGCTAGGGAATTAACACTATGAATTTATACTGTAGATTTTTTTAATGATTATCACCCAAAAAAAGACAAAAGGATAGACTGTTAGTCTGCTTTGATACCACAGGTCTTATGCTGAAATACATGGTTTGGAATACATATAACTAACAAAATAGTTATTTTGATTTTTTTCTTTAAAGAATGGAGCCGATGATGTGAAGAGACATCGATGGTTCAGGTCTATAGATTGGGACGCTGTACCTCAAAGGAGACTAAAGGTATATTCCACGAAATACTGTGTAGGACATCACAAGGAGAACTCATTGTTCATTTAAGCTGATCTGTTGAAGGTTTGTTGGCTGTTGCATCTGTGTGTTTGTGTGTGTATGACTAAATGTCTATATGCACACTTCAGTAATTAAATGCATATTTACCCTTTTACAATGCAGAATTAATTGTATGACTGTCTGTTTGCATTTTTGTCTACTTACAAAATGTCTAAAAAAAAAGCCTGCTTTGCTTATGTTGATTAATACAACATTTAGTTTTCAGTTTTAGGGGTTTATAAATAATTACTTGTATGTGGTTTTTTATTTAGAGGGGTGGAGGGGATTGGTAGTCTGTTGGTTTGATTATTATTTTTCTTTTTTTCCTTGCCCTTACATTTATGGAAGTATTTTACTCTGGGCTTTAAATTTTTGTGCCAAGTTCAATTCAGGTAAATGCTTTAACAAAATGTAAAGCATATGGGAGTAGGAGGAATAGGGAAGGTGAAAGAGAAGGATTTATGAATGTAATTCTAACACACTTTTTAACAGCACTGAATTCTAGTATTGTATGAGGGCAGAAGTTTGCTAAAACTATCAGCATGACAAAATGCTTTTTCAAGTCCTTTGGAACTAAAACTGCCTTCTTTCTTTCCTTCCCCAGAGTTCTAACTCATATGATTTCTTACAGCAGTGATTTTCTGTAACAGAGGTTACCATATGCAGTCAATCAAGTACCAATTAAATGTTTGTTTTTCTTTTTTTTTGCATTAGTTTCTTACACCTAATTTCTGGCTAGTTATCTTAAATTGAGTTCTTGCAAAAAACTAGAAGAGACTAAAATGTTCTTGATGCATTCTTGTAAACAACATCCTAATACAAAGCTGTAGATGGCTTTTTTCTTTAACAGAAATAAGTTCATACATTTTTAAGTTTGTGGATTTGTTTTATTTTTAATCATTACTACACACGTTTTTATGTAATGTGTTGTAATGAAGTCACATTTTGCAAGTTATTTACTGTAAATTCTGTTCATGAAAATCTGCAAAAAAACACAATCTGGATGATAACCTGTTTTATAAGTATTTAAATTCTGAAGTTTTTGAAAACCTTCTCTATTGCCAAATCAATAACAAATAAATTAAACAAATTAAAACCTGATTGTTAGATGTACAGTCAAACGTCTCAGGTCCAAACCTCCTTTGTGTGGCATTTTTATTTAAAAAAAAATTTTTTTTTTTAATTAAAAAATTTAAAAAGAGTCATTGTCACACTTGTGAATCTAAAACTTGTTTCTTAATCTTTGTGATGATTACATTAAGTTCTTAGAAGACAAGACACTGCTTAACTAAACTTCAGAGCAGGGATGTGAATTGGGTCAGAATTTTGCTTGGTGATTTCTAGAGGCAGCTTTATTCTTCAGAATTTGTTTTTACAATCTCACTGTATTTCATACTGATGAAGAGATTGAAAATATGAAATAATGCACGCAATGCTCCCTTTTCCCTGTAAAAAGTGTGAATTTCTCTAGTGTACAAATGACTCATTGATTCATCATCCTAATAAGGTCTTAAGTATCAGTATTATATAAATAATACTAATGGCTGAAAGAGAGAAAATAATTTCATTAATCATCCTTTCTCTCTTTCTTTTCTTTTGTTGTCTCCTTTTTGTGTGTCACTTCACAAAACTATTTTTTCCTGCCAAAATGCCTACAGGGAGGTGGGGGTATGGGCATTGCCCACAGTGGAGCAGACAGTTCTCTGGAACAGAACAGATTCTACACATTTTTTAAGCATCTGGGCAGTGTAGTGAGACTGCCAGGTGCAAAAGTAGGACTCTGCTTTTGGGTGAAGGCTAGAAGTATCACCTCTCGGGGGCCCTTGGTTTCCCATTTAAAACCTACTGATGATGACATCGATTTGAAAAGCCCAGAAAATCAGATAAGGTCTCACAAGCAGTGGAAGGCAAACCTTCATCTTTTTGAGGAGATGCAGAGTAACATTTTGCTATACTTTATAGTTCTGTCTGTGGTATAACTTGTATTAGCCAATTCATTGATCATCAGTAAGATTTTCTCATTCTAAAGTGTTCTGTTGGACTCACATGATAGTTCAGCTCTCAGTTGCTGAGAAGTGGTTAGAGAGATGAATGTCCCTTGAGAAACAGAAAAGGGGGTTGTCTTACATTAACCTCTGCAATTAATGAAATATTTCAGAAAGGAGGTTTATCTCATAGCCTGTGGGCAGAAGGGTAAAGTAATATGAATGCTAAATATAAAACAAGGAAAAACTACAGGTACTGTGAAGCTGGTGGGCAGTACTAGAAATTGAAAGGATCCTCTGAGGAGAGAAAGAGAAAACAGATAATTCTCATACATCTTCAGGTTTCATAAAAAAGATCCATTTGAATTAAGTTGCTTTTACAACCATCCTTGTGAAATGACTTACGGTGCAGCAATTTCTTTACCTGTTTGAATTTATTACTAGGTTAGGAAAAAGCACTACCTACTAGGTAGTGTGAGATATAGAGAAGTTAGTCATTTCAGCCACCTTAAAACTGATCAATCTATTCAAAACCAAAGAGAAGAGGAGGCTTTTCTCCTTCAATTAGAAAGGCATCTCCCACACTGCTATGATGACTTTTTCTTAATTGAAAGGAACCTAATATGATTACATTCCTTTCTGTTCATAGGCCACAGATGATGGGAAGAGTGAGGAAGAAGAGTGGCAGATTATGCTATGATGGCATGTGCCTGGAAGCCTAGTTGTAGTAATGTTCTGCAGTAGTTATCTTCAGTCTGCAAAGCAGCTAGAGGTGGTGTTATTATAAGTGTGTTTTAACCACATTATTTAACTGCAAAATAGACAAGGTGTGGGAATGTGTATGGGTTTCTGCAGGCTTCTCTCTCTCATGCCGTTCATTATTAGGTGAACTGTAAATCTGTGAACTGCAAATCTGTACCCCGTTTGTTTAATTGGTCTTTTACAGAATTTTTGCTTTAATATGATGGGGGAAGATCACTGAGGAAACTGTACTAACATTTTTGTTGTGCTTTTTCTGACTAGCCTCCTATAGTACCCAAAGTGTCCAATGATGGAGATACTTCCAATTTTGAAGCTTATCCTGAAGATGACTGGAATAAGACACCTCCAGTACCTCCAAAAGATCTAGAAATTTTCAAGAACTTCTGAAAGCAACATCTACAATGGATGAGGTATGTCCAAATGTCAGGAGCCATCTTGAAAACATTGCAGACTGAGAACCATGTTCAGAAATTACATCTTCTCATTCATAATGGCTTATGGAATGATAAAGATCATTTATCTCACGGGCTTTGGTTTTCTACAGTGATGAAGAATTATTTGCATAGAGATATTTAAGTCCTGTCCTTAAATCTTTTAAAATAATGTGTTAAAAAGAAATATCTAGATTGATTTGACAGATAAGGTAATGCGATTGTTCTTAATTGCAAGGTTTTTCTATTAAGAATGCAGGCTTTAGTTAGAAGAATAAGATTTTCAGATTAATTCTGTACCCTGGATTCTGTCTTTTAACTGTGATAGTTTGATACTTGTTATTCAGTTCACATACTCCACCTTGTGTTTTGTGTTCCTTTTCTTGTCTTAGAAGCTGGAAGAAAATTGAAGTCCTAAGAGCAAGTCTGAAGAATGATGGAGTTCATATGTAAATGAAAATTTTCGTTGTAGCTAAGAATGATACTGAATTCACATGTGTGTATTAGTATATAGTAAATACCTAAAGAGGTGGAGGCAGGCAAGAATGATTTTTTGCTGTAAACATTTAACATTAGTTTAGTTAATTGTAATAATGATAGTCTACTCTGAAGTAGACTCACTAAAATAGTATTTTTAGGATTTATTTTTTTTAACTTATGGTTAAGTTTCCTGCTATTCTCAGATCCTTTTTGCATAGTTAACTCATAGACTTAATTTTATAAGTTTATACTAAACTTGTGTAATTAAAAGCACAAATTAGTATATATGTATATAATGAATACAAAACAACTAAAGCACAGGAATTGTGCAAAGATGTAAATTTTTGTACTTTGCAGAGTCTATGATTTTTATTTTTCAAATAATGTTTTTCAAGAAGTTCTTTAGGAATAAAAATCTTAAAAAGGATAAATGAGTTTTTCATCATCTTATATACATTTTATAATTCTTTGTAAAAAATAAAAATAATTACGTTTTAAAAAAGATTTGTACCTAAAATTTCCAATGCCTCACACTTGCAACCATAGTACTTGAAAGCAGAAAGACAAGGGCATGTTTTATTGTTGTTTAAGGTGCATCTTAATGGCTAATTCAAGAAGTTCTGTTAAAATTATGTCTCTTTGCAAACCTGGATTTTGAATGATTTTACGCTGTCTGAAATGAGATTCCTCACGTGAAGACTCACTGTAAACATGCAGTTCAGTGCATACTGAAAAAGGGCTCTAACTAGCTCTTACAGGAGTTGTTCTGTCTCAAGCTTGCTGTCTTCTCCAAGCATGAGCCATAACAGACCTTTTTCATTAGTGAAATAGTTGTTGTTGAATGCTGGGTGCTTCAGAATATCAGAGGGAAGACTGAATATATAGTAAAGCCTGATTTTTTTTGCTCCTGCTTTTTAAAAAATGTCCCGAAGTCTCTGCTGCCAGGAATTTCGTATGTATAGGGTTCAAACCCTAGATGTAAGGAGTCTTTTTTCATCCTGCTCTAACATCTTTCTAGCAGCTTGAGTACACTGTATTTTGGAACTATTTGCAATATTGCTTCATTTTAAGTAGCAGCAAATATCATTGTGTGCATATGGATCTGTGTATATGAATGCACATGAATGTGAAGGTAGATTGTATACAAGTTAGAATTTTTTTTCATTTTTTTTTGAGGTTACATATTGTGATGCTTGTGTTAATATAGAGGAATTGATTTTGAAGTGCTTCAATTGCAAAAAGTTATTACATTGACTTTACATTGTTTCCAGAGCCATGTGTACATACTCCTGTAACTACTGACCTCGTCAAATGCTTTCTAGGACAAAACTGCTTTCAGATTTTTTTTAATTCAAATCCTGAATTAAAAACTACAACCAAACTGTTTTTTAAGCATTATTTGAAGTGATCAGTTATTTTTTTCTACAGTCTTGGACTTAATGAACTATTACCAGCCCATTTAATTTATTTGCACAAGTGAGCCTGTTTTATTTTAAGTCTTTGCTGGGACTTCATGGCCCACTAATGTAGTTCTGTCTGAGAGTTCATGCAGATATACGCTGCACTAAGAGCTCTGGATTTATGGATTTTTTTTTTTTTTAAGAAGACTGGAACACTTTTTTATTTTCTATTCAAGTAGGGTATTCTCTGAAGTTCATTTTACTTTGATTGCTTCTGTTAGCACATGTTTTTGCATACAGACTGTTGTCTTGCAAAAGAGCCCTTAGGCCTTTGGTATTCCACGTCAGTGAACAAGAATGTTAAACATTAAAAAACCAACCTTTATTTTTGAGTTTTATATATATATATATATACATATATATATATATATTTTTAATTGCCCAGTTTGAGGTTTTAAGTGATTAACTTGCATTGTAAACTCAATTGCCTTGTAACCAAATTATATAAATGCTTCATGATTTCAATGAAGAATATGCTGTAAATTTTCCTGTAAATTAGCTTGATCAATGAATATGTGTGCTACTGAGCTTTAACTAGTGTGATCTTCCACTGTAGAAAGTCATTGTCAATGGGTCAAATAGAGGTACTAAACTATGTTTAAATGGATGAACAGGGATTTTGCAGTTTTGAAAGCAATTAAGCTATGGCTGTTCCTCAGCCCATCTGCTTGCCATTCAGAAGAGTTGTGATGCAGTGCTTCCTATGCTATAGAATTGTTTTTCAGCTTTCAATGACTGTAGCATGATTCCTTTTTGTACTGTACTGTGTACAGACTTTCTATGTTTTGCACTTTTCTATGGCAAACTTTGACTGCTCTATAAATACTCTGTTGTGTAGTAAGTAGTGATAGTGGTAGCAGGCATTTGTGTGCTGCATAATCAGTTCGAACTGCTAGACTTGCGAGGTTAACTTGAACTAACATTGTATGTTGCTGGTTGCTTGTTGTAGCTCACATGTATAAGTACTGTTCAAAGTTACAAAGTCAGCCCTCATTGCACAATGAAAATCACTGTGATCTGTACATAAACCCTAGTAAAACTTTATTGCTGTTAATTTATGTAATATCTGTCAAATCTGGATTCATTTAATAAACCTTTATATCTTTTTAAATGTTTTAATCTAGTTTGCTTCCATTTGTGTTGGGAGGAGGTTGAGGTTCTTCATCCAAGAAAATTATGAAGGGGAGAGGAGACGGAGCAGAAAAACAACTGTTCCTTGTTTCTAGGAGTTAAGTCTTTCCAGAACAAGACAGGAGTGCCGGAACATACTTCAGATGGTGTGGAAGAAGTACCAAAAAGTATATTTTCAAAATCATTCCAGGTAGCACATCAATAATGAAAAGTGTTAACTCAGACTTCTCATTTAACTTTGATTATATGACCCTAATTGCTTTGACATTTTCATAGCTTAATGACCTGAACACTGTCCAGAACACTCATTTCAATTTGTTTCTTTAAGCATCAAAGTATTTTTACAATGTCAAGCACACCTAACTAAACCTTTATTTCATCTTCCATTAAGAACTTGAAAAGTCCATTTTCAACAAAATTTGTTTAGCTGTTGATGTTAAATTACTTTTCCTGGGTCAAATGTGTTTTATTTCTTGCCCACTAGATATCTTAATCTCGCAGAGATAATTACATAGTCATAGAGTCAACTGGATACAGTTTGTACTAGTTAAACGTTAATTTTTGTAACACAGTTTTTTCTTTCTGCCTTGCTTCATTCTAAATTTTGTGCATTGATGTTTTTCCTCTTGTAATAAACCACTATGTTATGTGCTTCAACAAACTGCTAATGGAAAGTGAAGGAACACTGCAGTGAGCCCTGGAAAGCTTTTGGTCATATCTTTGACATGAATCAAAAGAACTGCTCAGTTAAAACATACAAAATTTTTGAATAGTAACAAGAATCCAGGATGTTTGTAAAAAATTTGGTTTAGCATCTTGTTCTTACCCCAACCATGTGGTAGAGTTTTTGTTCATTTGTTCTGAGTACTGTATCTTTTTTGCCTGCGTGTGTGACTCCGTCTTATCCAGTAAAGGCCATTTAAAATAAGCTTTTTCACTCGTGCAGGGCCGATAAGTCTTGCTAATGGTTGAAAGCCACTGGCACTGTTACAATGGGATCCTGCCCTGCACTTCATGAATTCCTGCATAATGCACATATCAAGCTCTTCTTGTGCAAACTCCTGCTAGCTGCTACAGTCTCAGCTTCAGAATTAAGACAGCTTTTCACAGAGAAAGTAAAAGGATCTTCTGCTGTCCTCAGTAGCAGACTAGCTTTCCATTCTGTCTTCCACACACACTTTCCATCTACCCTTCAAAATCTACCACACATGAATATATGTCAAGCATCGTATTTATCCTTGAAACCAGGAATATTGTAAACTTATAGCAAGCTGATTTGTAGGAATTTATTTCTTTGTATCCAAATATTTTTCTGGTTTTGTGCAGTAATATTCCAAACTATTATTTTGTGAAAATTGCAGCAGTACGCAGGGCTAATATATGAGCTTTGACTTAAGGTGGTTTTATCGGATTTGCTGCATTTGTTTCAATGCCAATAAGAATGAGGGCAGTTGAGAGTTGAACACGTCTTACTGTGTCTGTAATTCAGGCCACTGAAGTTTCTGAGAGACATCCCAAAACTGATATGTAACCCAAAACACCAAAAAATGCAGGCCTGCCTTCTAGTAGATGAAGCTCTGAGGTTCTATGCAGGTGCTGTCTCTACTGCACTGGTTTTTACTTAATCAGAGTATGTATCATAAATACCTTGAAAAGTGTAATGTGTGTCATCTTAAACAACTAACTAACTAGAGATTATTATTTTGTGTTTTTTTATTCTTGCCTCTAGCATATTGTCCCTATTCTGGACTCTGATAATAAAGAAGGCAAATGAATGGGATAAAACTATTTTGGGAAAACAAATAAGCTTGAATTGCACTTTAATTCAAGAAATAACTTGATATGCCTCGCCAGTACATACTTGCACATGTACTTGTTCTACCACTAAACACAGAAAAAATTGTGTCAGTTCTAGGTTTATGCTGACTGTCAAGCTATAATTGTGTTCTTCTCAATATTGTATACTAAGAGACAGTTGTAAGACCCAGAGTTTATTTCAACTTTAGTCAGTAATTGGTTTAGTTTAGAGAGTCCTTGATACTAAAATCTCTTGGTTGGAGAAGGAGTGTGCTTTACAGTCATCTTCTTAATTTTCCATCCTGTCCAAGTGTAAGCTGTGCAGAGGAGGTGGTTGTGCTTTGAGTACTGTTGCAGTTCACTTGAAGAAAACAGCAGCTTGCTCAAGCCTACAGTGTGTCAGGCTTGCTTCAGAGCCTGAACTTAAGTCTTCTCACCCTGAAGGCCCAAGTCTCTTTTCTTTCAGAAGCTTTGTGAGAGTGTGACTGAGCAGCTTAGCAAATATTAGGACTGAGCCTTAGGAAAACTCTGAGCTTTACAATGGCAGCTTTCTCTGAGTCCACATTTCTTCAGAAGTTAATAACATTAGCTCATTTTTTGATTTAGGATACAAAAATAAAAGATTCTGAGCTGCTTGGTGCTTCTGAAGTTTGGTGAACAAATGCCAGAAATATGGAGTGTTTCAAATTGTGTGTATAATATCTAGTAGCTTCTTTGGCCTGATTTTAATTTCTCTGTTACAAAGAAATTGTAATTGAATTTAGGACCCTCTTCTAATCAAGGTGCTTGTAAAACCATTTAACTGAAGTAGGGCTGCTGGGCTGTGTTAATACAGTAAATAAAACATTCACAGATGGCATGTCTTTCATTTGTACTGATAAACAGTTTCCTTTGATGCATGCTAGCTATAAATGGCTTAACATTCTGCTCTTAGTTTTTTGTCAAGCCCATTTTAATAAGAGGTTTTGCAAAAAAAATAAACACAGGTAAGTATTATTATTATTATTATTATTATTATTATTATTATTATTTACCTAATAAGTAGGTAAATTATTTTGTGCTCATATGAATAAAGCTGATCTGGGAGTTGATATTGAAATGCATTATCAAGGAACAACATTTTGTTCTGGATTAATAAATTTGTGTTTTGAATGTAATCAGATTTAGGATTTTCCTTACTAGCCTGTGACTTGCAGCAGCACTGCAGTCCTTTGCCATGATGCTTGCTCCTCCTAGCACTGCTGTCACCACTGTAGCAGCAGTGAGTCCGCTACCCCGGCTGATCAGGGAGAAAATGTGTCCCTGCTGTGACCTGAACTTTGGATCAAAAGTGCTACTTCTACTAGTTTATCTGAAAAGGAATTTTCAATAGCTGAGTGTAGCTGAAGTCCTTCTATTCTCTGCAGGTATTTGCCACCAGGGAGCAAGACTACCACAATATACTATAAAATAACATTCAAATGGCACATTTTGAATCCATTTTAAAATATTTACATAAAGCTCCTGTGACTCATGTAATCCCCAGCAAAATCTTGGTGATGCAAGAAGGAAAGTGTGGTGGTGGATCACTTAGGCAAGTGTTGCTAGGGACTGGACTGAATCTGTTCTTTAATATCACTGTCTGACCATTGAGTAAAGGGAGTTGTTTTTTTTATTATTATTTTATAAATAAATTTTCTAGGCAGGCTATCAGAACGTGAGTGACCATTACTCTTGAGTCAGTTTTTCTTGCTGACCCTTGGTTTTGAGGTAACTTCTGGATTGTGAAAATATCTGAAGTCTGTTTGGAAACTAGGTTCTGTCAGTAATTTGCTATTTTAATATTTTTTTCTATACAGCTGATGATTATTTACATGCAAAATATGGCAAGTTTAAAATTAATATGTTAATTTGTTTAAAATTTTAATTATTTAATACACTGAACTGGTAATCAAATAAAGGAAATCTCTGCAAAGCTTTGGATGTAAAATATTTTCAGGTTGGAAGTGGAGTATTATTTTCTGAATAAACAGGTATTATGAAGGTAGGCTGATTTCAGTTCTTCAGCTGGGTATTAACACTGGAAGCTGTTGAATGAGGAATGAAAAGAGGAAGATTTCTTTCCATTTCTCTCTTCCACCCACATGTCAATAATTCTCATGGCTCAGCTTCGTGAACGAAGATTTGGGATGTCAATAATTATGTAGTAGAAAAAGTATAGCTACAGTTGTAGCTCTGAGTGAAGCTTGAGATATCTACAGGGCATTTCTCAAAACTGCCTAGGTTGCGTTGAATGCCTCACAGCTTGCCCTCCATTTTGTATCAGACTTTTCTTGGATGCTTTCATTAAAAAATTGATGAGGTGGGACATGTTAGGAGTCATCTTCTGAAAACAGATTGTTGATTGTTGCCATTAACTTATACTCTAAATGCCTTTTGTATGACTTTGAAGTGTAAGTCTTTGATAGAAGTATAAAATCTGACCTATTACCCCTAAGAGCAGTGTTCACCTGGATGGAAAAGGAGTTAACCCTATCTTTTTTGTTTTCTTTTTGGTCACAGTGTTTATATGAAATATTAAATGGTTTGAAGTTTGACGTGTGACATGTTACATTTCTTAAGCAAAGGAGGCTTTCCAGCTTTAAAAGAAAGCTTTTTTACTGGTTTTGTTCTATATGTGTGACACATGGATGTCAAAGGAAGTTGCCAATACAAAACAGTTTTCACCTTCTGGGTTTTATGCAGAGGAAAAAAACCTTTTCATAGGTAGTGCTTACTGAAGGATGGGATTCCTGGAGTGAAATAGCCTTCATTAAGAAGACAGATCAGCCAAGGAAGTAAACTTCCATTGGGCTTCCTGTGACAGACAAGATTTACAAAAGATTTTTCAGATTTCCAAATACAAAATACCATTCAATGATCAAACAATGAAGTGATTATTTTTGTCATTGTAATTAAAAAAGAAAACCAAATCGGCTTTCTTAACATGCCAGTGCCAAAATCATGAACAGTACTAAAACTTACTTAGCTTTGTTATGAGCCTTTGTGCTGGATTTTTTTTCTGTTTTCAAACTGTCAGCAATAGTAGTAGTTAATACAATAAAAAATGCAACTGAGTCATTTACCTTGTAATGTCTAAGTTTCTAGTGTATTCTGTACACTAAGTGGAGAGTTCATCCTACTTGAAATAATTCATTCCATAACTTTTTTCT